GGAATCAATGGATGTGTTTTCTTACTTAAAAAAGCAAAATGAAGATAAAGACAGTGAGGTATCGTATTGTTTATTGAAGTTTCAATGTGCAGGTAAAAGAACTTAAAAACAAAATCGAATCCATGTCTATTTCTCATGAAAGAGATAAAGAGTTAATTGTAAATTGATTACATATTCTGAGTGCTTCATCCTAACACTTTCAGATCAGGGATGCAAAACAACAGATTTTGTGCATAAATAATGAAAAGGAAAAAAAGTGCGATAAAATTAAGGAACTCGAACAGGAAATAATGCAGTTGGATGAATATAAAAGTGAGAAGACACGAACTGAAAATGAATTAAAACAGGTATAATTATGATAATTATAATAATAAGGTGAATGGATACATTGATTTACTTTAGTTGCGCGATGAAGTTCAAAACCAAAAGTGTCTCATTGAGAATATGGAGACAAAGTTCTTCGAAGAGAAGGTAAGTGGGATTAATTCTGTCCCATACTTTTAGCTAAAAATGAGGGAAAGTAGCATAAAAGATATCAAAGCTCTGGCAGAAGAAGCCCACAAAATTTCTATTAAGTTGATTTCATAATAACAATAACCAGTTCATTATTAAGAAATTTAGACGATTCCGTCAAGTTATCATTTGTTCAGAACGTCGCAATGAGGAGATTTATAACGTTTTTAAGAAAACAGCTGGTGTCAGCTGAGGATTTATCAAGATCTTTGAACGAAGAAAACGAAAAGCTTACTATAGAGAAGGAAACCTTAGAAGGCGTTTTGTTGTCAAAGTCCTTGGAGTGCAAAAAACTGAAGGAACTTATTCAAGAGGTGGGCATTTCTATTCAGAGTCAATAAGTGTTTGAAATATATACTCTTATAGATCTGCGCCGTTAATAAGTTCATCCCTCGTATACAGACCATTTGTTCAATAATTAATAGCTCCAAAACACTTGTAACAATGCTCTAAAATAATTATAGGTAAAACTCCTTTTCTTTTTGGTTTGTGTGTACAAAATTAAACGAGATATATTTATTTTGGAGATTACAAGTTGCTGTTCTGTTCCCCTATTAGGAATTTTAGTTTGAGTTAAAAAGTGAATTAAAAGCTGATATTAATCCGATATTACTATTTTCAGTAAAGGCCAATTCATGAAGTTGTTTTGATTTAGATAAACACTATCTAATTTTACATATCTCTAAAACTTAAACTACTTAAACCGAATTGATTTCGGATTGATAACTATGTTTTAGTTGATTATTCAAGTGCGGGTGTCTGCATGTTTTCCCAAAGTAAGGGTTAAAAGTGATATTCAGGTCAATGATATGTAAAACTTATTTTACCATTCTGACAGTTATCTCTGGTAAATAAAAACTGGTGTATTATTAACCTTACATATTATCAAATAGATTAGCATACTTGTTCGTAATTACGTGAAAGGAACGATAAATGTTTTCATGACTTAATTGATTTCTAACCGTTGTTAGACCTAATAATGTTCTAAAAAGTCACACTTGTCTATTTAATTAGCCCTGGGTACTGTAATATGTAAAGGATCCATAGTCAACTCCTTTTCAGTATGCCATTTCAACTACCCAATATATGATAGAAAATGTAAATGTAAATTTGAATAGATCTAAAACTGCGAGCTCATCACAGCTCATAATCTAACATAACACTTAATCTGTTACTGGTAGTTACTCTTTACCTTTACAATAAATATAAATGGGGATACGAAAAAGGGTTAGAGTGATTATTGGCATGGAGTAAGTATTTAATTTACAACAATGTGTATTATTTTGGGGCAATGCTTTCCATCCATGTGATCACACACTGACTAATAATTATATGGAGTGATGTTCTATCACCTACATTCAACCACAAATCGAAATTAATGAAAAGGTGGAAAGTTGAGGGCAGAAAACTTTGATTATACTGTGGTTCATCAGGTCATTAGTTAGAAAACATTGACAAATATTTCACTTTCAAATGATATTTTAATCTGTAAATTGATCAGACAATTTATTTGAAACGTTTGATTAGATGAAGAACTTGGCATCTTTTCGTGTAAATACTGTTAGTTAATTGAGGAGGACAAATCGATTTCGCAACGTTATATGTTCTTCCTTTAGCGTTTCTTTTACGTTACACCATAAATTCATCTAGCATTTTAACTTTAGACCATATCTGTTAAGTGATTTCTAAGTCAATCTTGAGTGCTGTCAGAAGTATGAGAGAGGTTATCACTTACCGGTTGCCCACACTGTGGAAGGGTTCTTCTGGAGATCCCTGAAGAGGAAATTGGGTAAGGAGTGATCCTAGTGATTTGAGAGCGTGACCGCGATGTCCATGGGACAACTGCTTGAGGCCGGTCACAAACGACTTTTTTGTGAGTAGTTTTCATGTTAGCTCCGTAATTTTTGGAACCTTACCGCTGGAGATGGAAATCCGTGAGATAAGACGAGATGTGCACTTTTAGGTTCGACCCTTTCTGACCTCACCCCTCCTTGTGGGAAGGTAGCATCGCTGTTATGCTGATTGTCTAAAGAAAACACCTTACTGCCGTCACACATTTGTACAGTCGGCAGTACGATTTCGCCCTTGGACCTTAGGTTTTGCTGATTTTAGTCTTACCACTCTTAAACCGACCTGTCTGGCATTGTAGGACCTTGAAGGACGATTGTTTCAACCAGTATAGCTCAATTGGTTCATTGCGATAGGCAAGCCCGACCATCACGTCAAGGTAGCAATGGCAGTCTGGATTTCCAAGTAAATTTGAAATTTCTTCTGGCTAATATTCATTGATAATATAATCACATAGTTTTTATTTACTTTTTTTTTCACCTCCTACTCTTCTCTTATCTTTTTTTCGTAAAAAACTATACAAAATAACAAATAATTATGATAGAAAGATGAAAAAATTGAACTTTATCAATATGAAATTAAACAGTTAACTGAAGATTTAAATAAACAAAAAACTATATTCAATGAACAAATGACACTTCAAACATTTGAAGCATCTAAATCAATAGAGAAATTAACTAAAACATTAGAATTAGAACGTAAACGAATGAAACGTATATCTAATTTAGCAAATAGAATTTTACAACAAAGAAATGAAATTGAAGAATTCTTTATTACATCATTAAATTATGTTCGTGATGAGATCAAAGTGAATCAGTAAGTTTCACTTTTTCTTTAAATAAAACTTAAGTTTAATGAGTTGTGTTTTTGGAATTACTTTCTGATTAAGTTTCTTCATTACTATCTTGAAAATATAATGTACTATATAAATATGAGGTGGGACAATAATTAATGAACGAACCATTATGATTTAAGGTTTTTTTATTTATTTAAACACATAGGTATTGGTACAAGAAGGCACCAAATATATATGCGCCACACAAATCTCATTTGATTTGTGTTAGGGCTGTGATACTGCCCGGGTGCTCAAACCGAAGCAGGTGGTTATCCTAGCGGGCCACACTCCCCGAGCCTTCGACCTGAAGGTCGGATCCACAAGGCAGTGGAGCATCGTAAGGAGATGCAGTCCCATGGTAGCCGGTGACCAACGATTTGTTCATCAGCCATTTGTTCCCGCAGGATACTGGAGCCCATGTTCACCATTGTTTGGGAATGAGGGTTTTCCAACTCTCCTATGTGAACTCTCGATGTCCACCAACCCGGTTAAAGCGTCGGATATTCGCTTTTCTTCATTTCATTTTTGTAAACAACACCCCCGCCACGAGAAGGCAGTGAGTAGGACTTCCCTGGCAGAGGCTATATACGCGTGTCCGTGTGAGAGCACTTCGAGATGGAGAGTGGACTCTCCCCACTCTCGGCCATACCAGGGCATTTGGGGGCACGAATGTCAAATACCACGAAACATAGGTCTAGGGTTTCCTACTAACTACCACCTACCACCTCCCTACATCATAAGATTTTGGACACCATGTCGAGTCACTTAGACTAGTGACCGCATTGCGATTCAGTTTATATAATAAGGTATTCTCAAAGAAAAACCTGACAAACATGACACGACAATCTTAGGGCAAAAAAACTCAATGACATTTCACGGTCTTACTTGTTATAGATGATTTGTTCATATTTTTGAGTCAGCTTATTGAATATCCAATAGAACGAAGTTTTGGTTTCATTAATACATAATCATTATCATCACCATCATCATTATCCCATGTTGCAGGGTTAGATGATTCTAAAATTACTTAGGTAAAACCGGATAGTTTTTTGAAAAAAAAATCAGTTGATATTTGGAGTGTAGAGTAAATTGTTTGGAGATAATTCCAGAATTCTAAATAAACATTTTAGAATTTACCTACTATGATATGTTAATGAAAATGCCCTCGAATGAGCCTATAGAGGGCTGATCACGCGTCATTCAAATTTTCTGGCAGACAAGATAATATTCAGTCATCGAGTTGTTATCCACTGATTTACAATGTCCAAATTCGGTCAATTTATGATATATTATATATGCGTCAATCAGTATTACTGCCTGTCACTTATATAACTATTCATTTACTTCTTAGGATCCAAGCTATGACCAGTTTATGATTTAGATCAGTGAGAATTCTAAAATCTCAGCGAATACCCTTATGCTCACTAATAACTAGCCTCAAGATGTAACTCCTGGAGTTCAACCATGTCATGTGTGAAACAGACATCTACCGCAGGGAATAAATGACTGCAACGCAATATCGTGAACTATTGAAGTTTAGAGGTCAATACCTATAAATGTCAGTTCATTGATCTAGAGGTTTAGTTCTTGTTCGTGAGATACATGTTCTTGGGTATGATTCCCAGTTGCGGAGTTGTGTATGCACACTCCTAAAGAGTTCCAAACTAGGACGAAACAGTCATCCAGTGATCTAAGATCATTTCGTAATTTAAACTATGGAAATATTTATATTTTTAAAAATGACAAATGATTTTAACTATCATTTTCAATCTTTCAATTTTGTTTAGGAGATAATTTATTTATTATGGATGGAAAAGTTTGTTTAACCACCAATATGTGTGTATATGTGTAACTTGTTACTCTTTTTTCTTATAATCAATGTTGTTTATTTTCTTTGTGATCACTTGTACGGTTATCAGTGATACCTTTTTAATTGTATACACTACTAATATCATTCTATGTCATACCCCTATATGAATCACTTGCAATATTACACTATTTAACCATTTGTTATAACCTGCTTTCATAGTTTCTAGTCTACAATCATGACTGTTTATCAAATCTATTTTATTTATCAGCTATAGAGTAAGTGATTTTAATCGTTATGCGTGCTTAGAATAAATCAATGCAAATCTTCTTTAAGAAATTTATGTCACTCGTTTTCAATTCTTTTAATCAATTGATTACACTATTGCATTTCAACTTGGTGGAACCGGTTTGTATGTGATAATTTTATGAAAACTGTTCAGTTTTGCATCATAGGCTGACTTTAGCTAAGGAACCATTGAAAAGTAGGATAGACTGAACATCTATTTCATCCTGATGCAGACCTCCTTAGAAGTGCGAACCCAGTATGACACCTGGTTACTATGTCCAGGAAATTCAGACCTCGATACGAGTGAGTTAACTTTAACTTATTGGATCAACACCCAATAACTCATATTTCCAACATCAACCAATCTATGTTATAGCATAATGTCGTCTGTATTCATCGGCTATAGATGTTTCATGAACAACATCGTTAGGATTCAAGACTCTTAGCTTCTCATGAAAGCTTCAATAATGCTTATTAAAGTTAGTCTCTTGCGATACTTCATTGTATAAAGTTACATTCTTAACGTAACGATAGATATGCAATACTGATGAATCTTATGCTAAGACGAAATACTTGTTTATTACTTTCTGATTTTTTAATAGTTATCATTGTATTTAAAATACAAAATTGTTAGAAACGATATCAGTAATTTACTCGACATTCACTAATGTCTTTTCCTTACTTACTTCTTGTCTAGAAATAATTATATTCATGATGCCAAATCTGCATATGAAGCGAGTATACGATTAGCACATTTAGGCAAATCAAATTATCCACCTATTAGAACATTTCAAAATAAGATAACTAGTACAAATAATGTATATGATGACTTTAAAATTGCTCAAAAAATGTAAGTCAATGTAATTGTCAAATAATTTGGTGTATCTTTCTTTGACATATATATATAGTCAATTGAGTTGACTTGAGTAAATGGTTCATTGATAAATGGTAAATTTAATGATGAATAAACTTTTACATCTAAGTTCGATGGTGTCTAGCAATCAAATCCAGGAAATACATCAATATTATTTGGTATTCGTCAGCTGGATACACTTGAATTCTAGTGTTGATATTCATAGTTAAATCTATATACATCATCTATCACTTTAATCACCTAGAGATCATCCGTCAACTTATTGAAGTCAGACAACTATTAACTAACAGTAGAAGTACACAATACTGATCTTGACTGAACCAGTAACAGTTCAAGTAACACCTCGTATATCTATGTGGGAAATTTAAAATGAAATGTTAAATAGCTTATAATCTGTTATTATGTTAACTAAATGGAAATTGACAATGTTTGATTTCGAAAATGCTTGAAATTGATAAAGAATGTCTACTATGCAACCAAACAGTGAATTAACATTCACATGATGCTGAAGTTAAATCAAAACAAATATATATCTGTTGCTAATGCAGATCATATATTGAAGTACTGAATGTAATTTAATGTGTAGTCAAGGATGCTTTTGTAGTTGCCACAACATCTTCCCAATGTAACTCCTCACTCTAAATCTCAATCCTGAGTTTTTGAATTTGTAAAGCAAAGGATGGATGTAAAAGCATCATTGCATAATAATTGTTGAATGTTGGTGATTAAAGCCGTATAGGGTTATAAACCAAACTCACAACACTAGCCTAACTCCTAATATATAAATTTAACCTTCTTTCTTTATCATAATAAATAATTTAACATTTAAGAGACTGATAAGCAACTGATAAGGTCGTCAGTCTGATATATGTTTACCTAAGCAACTCTTATATCATGACATTCACTTATTAAACTTCACTTTGACTAATTACTGATTAGTATCCAATATCATATTTGTTTGATCATTACTATTCTATTAATCCAATTGATACTAGTATAAATAACATTTGATGAATTATACTAAGATATTAGGCAGTTAAAAGAAAACGTGAAGAAGCTATATTTGTTCTTAATTTCTTGGTAGCTAATTCTTATCTCTCCAATATACCAGTATTTTTCTTAGAACTGATATTCTCTATAGGATTTAATTACTGTAATTGAAGAAGTGACTACACTTTACTGACAAATACCAGGAAAAATTTTGGATCACTAATTTCTAGTCAAATAGTTTTAATCATTTAACAGATCAACTAAATTGATTACTTCACTTTATTCATTATTAATATTCGTTAAGTGCTCGCGCGCGAGACTGATATGTCCTGGGTTCGAATCCCATGAGGCAGGGTCGTGAATGTGCACTGCTGAGAAGTCCGACAATAGGACGAAACGGCCATTCAGTGCATCCATGTTTTCAATGGTTGTCTAGCTTCAATTAACTCATGATCTCAACTATTGAAATTACTACAATCTCCACAAAATCAATTCTGATACTAATCAACACATGCTCACTACTGACAGGTTTCAAGAGGTATATCCTGGAATTCTAGTAAGATACAGTAACTAGTGGAGTTCAACGAGGTCTGTTGTGAGTTAGTAACTCAATGAAGACAATGATGGATGTGTCTCTCAATTTCATGGGTTAGTTGAAGTTAGACATCAACACTGTTGGATGCCGGCTGATTCAGTAGTCTAGTGGTTAAGTGCTCGCGTGCGAGACTGATAGATCCTGGGGCGGTATTGTCGATGCACACTGCTGAGGAGTCTCACAATGAGACAAAACGGATATCCAGTGCTTCCATGTTTTCCATGGTTGTCTATCTTCAATTAACTCATGATCTCAACTATTGATATTATTATTATTATTATTATTACAACTATTATTATTATTATTGCATAATCATTGTAGTCCGAAATCAACACATTTAACAATTCGTGATTTAACATGGGAACAAAAAGAACGTGTCCTTTCTATTTTATTTGAAAAAATGAATCATTCCAAAATGAAAACTAATCATAATAAATCATCAATGAATCATTTAAATAATCAATTTAATAAAGAATTAATCATACAAATGAATAATTGTAACAATGAAACGAATCAACAGCTTGAATTGAATGACATTGATTCCAAGTCAATTCTATTGACAATCAATAATGAGGATGAGGACGTTGATGATGCTGATGGACATGATCAAGGTAAAATAAAAGATCAAGTTAATAATGATATTAAAGTAAAGGAGAATCATCAAAATCAATCGAAAGAATTAACAAGAAAACTTTATGAAAAAGTAATTCAATACAAAGATCATGAAATTGATGAAACGAATTCAATTAAACAATCGGATGTTAAATGTACATTAGGCAATGATTATGAAACTATTCCAAAAAATATTGATTCTACAATGAATTGTCAAATAAATCAAACTAAAGTACCATATCCATCACCACAATAGAATAAAAGTGAATATTTATTGGTTAATGATAATGTGAGAAAGTCATCTTTAGTGATTCAAAGAAAAGACAATTCAATATTATGTATTATTTTGACAGATTACATTCATACAAATTGATATTCTTTTTTTTCTTTTAAAAAACGTTTTGTTCCCTGAGCTACCCGACCGTTGTTGCTACCTTGATGTGGTGGTTGGGCTTGCCTATCGTGATGAAGCAACCGAGCTATACTGGCTGGAACAACCGTTCCCCAAGGTCCTACCATGTCAGACAGGTCAGTTGAAGAGCGGTAAGACTAAAAACAACAAACCTAAGGCCCGAAGGCGAAGTCGTACTGCCGACTGTGCAGAGGTGTGACAACAGTATGGTGTTTCCTTTAGACAATCAACATAAAGCGATGTTGCCTTCACAGAAGGAAGGGTGGGGTCAGAAGGGGTCGAACCTAAAAATGCACACCTCGCCTTATACGACGGATAACCATCTCCGGCGGTAAGGTTTCAGCAAGTACGGAGCTAACACAAAAATTACCCATAAAAAGGTCGTGTGTGACCGACCTCAAGCAGTTGTCCCTTGGGCACTGCGGTCACGCTCTCAGGTCACTAAGACCACCTCCAATCCAATTTCTTTCTCAGGTACTTCCGGAAGAACCCTTCCACGGTGTGGGCAACCAGGAAGTGATAACCGACCTCATACCTCTAACAGCATTCAAGACCAATGTATTCATAATCAACCTCCTACCTCTGTTCTCTGAGCTGGACGGTTTGGTTGTGGAGCTTTCGTCATTCTACTGAACGACATCATCAGCATAAAGTTCAGGTAGAAGTAAAGTTTGTAAATATTGTGATAAATGAAAAAGGTTAAATTTATATATTAGGAGTTAGGCTAGTGTTGTGAGTTTGGTTTATAACCCTATACGGCTTTAATCACCAACATTCAACAATTATTATGTAATGATGCTTTTCCATCTATCCTTTGCTTTACAAATTCAAAAACTCAGGATTGAGATTTAGAGTGAGGAGTTACATTGGGAAGATGTTGTGCCAACTACAAAAGCATCCTTGACTACACATTAAATTACATTCAGTACTTCAATATATGATCTGCATTAGCAACAGATATATATTTGTTTTGATTTAACTTCAGCATCATGTGAATGTTATTCACTGTTTAGTTGCATAGTAGACATTCTTTACCAATTTCAAGCATTTTCGAAACCAAACATTGTCAATTTCCATTTAGTTAACATAATAACAGATTATAAGCTATTTAACATTTCATTTTAAATTTCCCACATAGATATACGAGGTGCTACTTGAACTGTTACTGGTGCAGTGAAGATCAGCATGGTGTACTTCTAGTGTTAGTTAGTAGTTGTCTGACTTCAATAACTTGACGATTAATTTCTAGGTGATCAAAGTGATAGATGATGTATATAGATTTAACTATGAATATCAACACTAGAATTCAAGTGTATCCAGCTGACGAATAGCAAATAATATTGATGTATTTGTTAGATTTGATTGCTAGACACCATCGAACATAACTGAAAAGTGTATTCATCATTAAATTTGCCGTTTATCTAGGAACTTTACTTCTTCCTGAAGTTTGTGCTGATGATGTTGTTCAGAAGAACGATGAATGCTCTACGAGCTAATCATTCAGCTTAGAGACCAAAAGTCCATATCAAAATCATTCAGCTGAGGTACAAGTCTTCTCCATCATCACAAATTGATATTTATTTCATTTGTATATAATAAATTTTATTAGAGGAATTAATAGAAAAAATGATTTGACTTTGTTCTTTTAATATATTCAAAAATTGTTAGTGTTGATTACTTTATGCTTTAGCACAATTTACTACTATGAATTACTACTGAACCAAAATGTGAATAGGTTGACAAATACAATTTATAACATAATAGATAAATAAATTAGAATAGGCGTTTGTGAAGATCGTAATGATTTTAATATTTGAATTTATGAGTCATGTTCCGCTGGCGGGATTGTGAATTTATACAGTGGAGGAGTCCCATACTAAGGCGAAACGTCCATTCAGTGCTTTTCAATGGTTGTTTAGCTTACATTGACTGATGAATTCAATTGTTAAGATAAATAAATGTTTTGACATAAGTCTATTATTTATTGGTTGTGTTTTCTACAAATTGAACTCATCTAGGATATCATTAAAATTTCAGGTATAGTAGATGATTTTATTTTAGTACAGAACTCCTTAATAGTGCATACTTATCACTATCAGGAATCGAACACAGGATCTGGAGGACTTGCGTCGAATGCTTAACCATCAGATACATTGAGTAATGGTTTAATAAGTTGGTTTCAGATTCAACTAGTTTGGCATATAGCTTAGGGATAATGCAATGTCATTGGTGAAAATCGTTTCACTCCTGACTTTTATGAACTCCATCGGTTACAACTTACCACTGAAATTTCAGGAACATCTTAGAGTAATTCACTAGTGATCTAACTGCTATAGTTTATCTGTAGGCAGTTTTTGAAAAAATGATTCTGTTCTTAGATTTTATTTGTTACAATTTGATACCTGGCTTATTCGTGGATGAAGAGTGTTGAGAAGTTCAATACTAGAACGTGAACATCTATTCAGTTCTCTTTGGTTTATAATAGTATTTCAACTCGAATCAATCTACAGCTATTATAATCTACTTTTTAAACCAATCTTAGCAAAATCTCTTTAACTAAATTCTAAGTCACTGTATCGATCATTTATTTTTTGAACTTGATAAATAATTGCAAGCATTACTGGTGTGTCGGTCGGCGTCCAAAATCTTATACGGATACACACTATGCTACTCGTGCTACTCCCAACTGACTACTCGAGCGGGAACACAAGAGTGAACGAATAAGATGTACAGATACTCATTCATATATTTATACCACTCTAGTTATTGGAAATGGACACATCTTTTATCAAATGAAATGCACTTGTCCTTTAGGTCACTTCTGATTAACTCTCCATATCAACTATAACCCCTATCCTTATTAAACTTAATCATATTAACTGGTTTAAATGATATATATGATCAATTTATACTTCGGTTTCACTTTTTAAATAATATACAAGTAGAATTCATTTGGTATTGTTTGCATGAATCTTCCTATTGATATTTAGAACTGCAATTGTTTAGTCCCAAATAAAACAAAACGCACATCCTGGATTTCACCACTAGCCACTATCCGTCTTTGCTTATAATGTATAAGTTGTTTGATTATCTCTTTTTGCATTCTTGAAGTTATTGTGAGACATTTAATTATTTTTCTTTTATTGTTTGTATCTCATCTAAAGGATTTGTTGATAAGTGTGATAATTTGAATCGATGGAATAAATTTTTCTCAAGTGCTTATTTTGAATATTCCGCTTGTTGTTTGTTGCGGTGGTAACACTTTTCCACAACTGAATAGTTTTATTATAAAGCTTGAGTGATTTCTTTCTCCATCACATAATTGATACAAACTTTTGAGAAGTATAAAAAACAAAATACCAAGATTGAAGTTAATAGTATCGAATAAATCAAGCATTGGGTAGAAAGTTGTTAATAATTGTAAGGATGGTCCACAGCTCTTCTCATTTGTCTTCCATCTTCTCATTTGAGACTTGGGAGGGTTCTAGCGTTCGAGTGCTGAAGTTATACGCGGCATATCAAGAATATAGGCTCTAGATATAACAATAATATTATTTCACTGACCGAAATCATGAGTCAATTGAAGCTATGCCACCATGGAAAACCTGGAAGTACTGGTTGGCCATTTCGTCCTAGTATGGGACTACTCAGCAGTGTGCATCCACGATCTCGCACCCCGCTTCAATTGACTCATGATTTCAATCAGTGAAATTTCTAAAATCTCCACAAAACCCCTTCTGGTACTAATCAACATATGCTCATTAGTGACTGACTTCAAGAGAAACTCCTGGAGTTCTAGTGAAGAGCAGTGATCAGTGGAGTTCAACCAGTTTTGTTGTGTTAGTAACTCATTGAAGAAAATGATGGATGTGTCGCTCAATTTCGTGAATTGGTTGAAGTAAGACATTAACACTGTTGGATGCCGGCTCAGTGGTCTAGTTGGTTAAGCGCTCGGCGCGAGACTGACAGGTCCTGGGTTCGAATCTTGCGGGATCGTGGATGCGCACTGCCGGTGAGTCCCATAATGCAACGAAACAGCTGTCCAGTACTTCCATGTTTCCCATGGTGGTCTAGCTTCAATTGACTCATGATTTCAATCAATGAAATTTCTAAAATCTCCACAAAATCCTTTCTGATAATAATATTATTAGTGAGTTCCCAATAAGTAGATATATGTAAATCTGACGTTTCGTGACTTAATGTTATTCACTTCTTAAGAGTAAATCAATAAATAACCAAAATAAATTATCAAAAGTTTAGATAGTACAAAAGAAACAAAGTAGGATATTTTTAATACAACCAAAATAATAATAAGTCTAAGCACGTTAATGTAATGAGAATTTTTAGTCAAGACGAAGATTTTCTTTTTTACGTGACATTACTTTGTTTATTTGTGTCTATAACGGTGGATATGAAAAAAATAAAGTTTAATTTGTAATATGAAGGAGTAGAGGTAAAAATTGAATGTGTGTATTTGTGTTTAGGTTATACAGAAAATAAATAGACTGAAGGTCCTGGGTTCGAGTCCTATGTGTGGGATCATGTATATGCATTGCTAAGAAGTTCCATGCTAAAACGAAACGGATATCCAATGCTTCTAGGTTTTCCACAGTGATCTAAGTTAGACCAGTTCATGATCTCAATAAAAATCAATGAAGTTAAATAAGGCTATTTGGAAAAACAATCTAGGTTTGATGAATAGTCAGATATTTGAGGAATATACCTATTTATAATTACCTACACTGGATTAACAAAAAATTTAATTAATAAAAATAATATATTTGTAGTATCCCAATGAGTAGAAAATTGGATTTTCTGACGTTTCGTGACTTAGTGTAAGTCAC